CTTCGGTCCACAGAATTGTTTCCAAAGCATCAGGTTGTCATAGTTCATTTGCAAATTCAAACGATGATTTTTGTGGGAGGAACCTAAAGAAGGGTTTTTTCTTCTGTGACTCTTCCATGAAGACCATATTTGTACAAGTATCTTTTATAGGGGAATATTTTGTACCACAACCCCATTTGTCTGCCAGATCTTTTGGAGGGATCGTGCAGAAACGGGGGGTTTTGAATTGTTTTTCCACAACCCCTGCGAGCTGTTCTGTCTGATATTTTTTTTGGTCTTCCAGATTTTTCTTAATTTCCCCCCATGTTCCTGATGACGCCTTTTCTTAATTACATTCCGAACAGGGATATTACATCTAAAAAACGTTTGCTTTTTTTTAACCTTCCCCGCTTTTGGCGTCAACTATTTTCAGTTATTTTTCTAGACAACTGTTTAGAAGAACCCATGGTGCTGATTGTTGGGGCAAGGTCACTTGGTTGGATTTAAAATTTTTGGGGGATTTGACCTCCACCTGGGTTCTTCCCAGACGAATGATTGAGAAACAACTCCCATGACACTGGCAGGCGTGTCTCCAGCTTAGGCAAAGAGGGTTGCAGGTGCCATGCTATAAATTCTGCAGGGGTGGCCCAAACTTTTGGCATGAACGCCATTTTTTTGTTTTCAGTTATTTTGGCAAGTGTAAATGATGCGAAATAAAATCTAACTTTTTGTTGACATAATTATATAGAATGGTCTAATCTGTTAATTTGGTGCCATTTGGAGATTTTTCCATCTTTCCTTGGACATTCTTTATGCACATTAATTACAACAAATTTTTAGCTGGTCGTGTGTCCCAAACTTTTCGATCCCCCACTGTAGTTCTAGTGGAATGTTGTAGCCATAGTAGCCACAGTCTCATGGACATGTTGGCACAAACTGGGGAAGAATCTTAGAAACCCAGGCCGGATAGTCATTGATATATGATCTAGTGGAGTTTGTAGCAATAGGTACAGCTTCAGGACAGGCGGCACAAACCTGAAACAGAACTGACGGAATTCCTAGGAATCCAAAAATGTATCGGCCAAAAAAATTAGGGTTATCGGTGTTGTTTTGGCCAATTGAAAAAAAAAGAGAAAAACAAAAAAGCTGCCTGACTAATATTTAACATTAAATGAAAAAAATCCTCGTCCCGTTGTCTTCAATGTAGGAATAGTGTGCCGAAAAATAGCGCTATCAGTCATTACTTGCCGATAGGAAACATTTTAAGCCGTTACAGGTGTCTTTGTGTGTAACTGCAGATACAGGAGAGTAGGGGTCGCTGAGATAAAGGCAGGTAGAGGAGCAGTTGTATACAGTTGATTCTGGCTGTCCCACTATGTCTGGTGTGACAGTTTTTTTTAAAATGTACTTACCGACTTTTTTTTTTTCTTCCCTATAGACTCACAAAATGAGCTGTCACTTTCCCCCCCTGCTAAAAGAAACATCGTTTCCTTTTTAGTTTCTTTCCCTTGAGACTAAAAAAAACAAAGTTTCCTTTTAGTTTCCTTTCCCGAGATAAAAGAAACAACTGATTTCCTTTAGTTTCTTTCCCGAGATAAAAGAAACAAAGTTTCCTTTTAGTTTCTTTCCCGAGATAAAAGAAACAAAGTTTCCTTTTATTTTTCTTTCTCCGAGTTAAAAGAAAACAAAAGTTTTCCTTTTAGTTTCTTCTTTCCCGAGTTAAAAGAAAACAAAGTTTCCTTTTAGTTTCTTTCCCGAGATAAAAGAAACAAAGTTTCCTTTTAGTTTCTTTCCCGAGATAAAAGAAACAAAGTTTCCTTTTAGTTTCTTTCCCGAGATAAAAGAAACAAAGTTTCCTTTTAGTTTCTTTCCCGAGATAAAAGAAACAAAGTTTCCTTTTAGTTCTTTCCCGAGATAAAAAAAGTTTCCTTTTATTTTCTTTCCCGAGATAAAAGAAAGTTCCTTTTAGTTTCTTTCCGAGAAAAAAGAAAGTTTCCTTTTAGTTTCTTTCCCGAGATAAAAGAAACAAAAGTTTCCTTTTAGTTTCTTTCCCGAGATAAAAGAAACAAAGTTTCCTTTTAGTTTTCTTTCCCGAGATAAAAGAAAGAAAGTTTCCTTTTAGTTTCTTTCCCGAGTTAAAAGAAACAAAGCATCCTTTGGCTCCCAGGGAAAGTGACAGCTCATTCTATGAGCTATATAGAAAAAAAAAAAAAAAAGCCGGCAATTGCATTTAAAAACAGGCACCAACCTATAGTGACAGCCAATGAGGAACCTCTCTGTATACACTGCCCTCTCTCTGCCCTCTCCTTGCACACTCCACCCCCCCCCCCAACCCCTACAAAGAGGACCTGTCACTCATATGTTATCACATAGGGGACTATTGCTCTCTTATGTGATAGCAATAAAAACATAAGTTGAAAAAAGTAATTAAAAATATACATAAAAGTAGAAAAAACAAACAAACTGGAGCCTCCCTACCGCAGACATCCCGGTTTCGGTTCGTTTTTTGACAACATGCATCCTGAATTTTCAGTATTGGCACCTGAATTGTCATTTCGGTGCACCACTACTTCAATGCAAAAATCGGGTCCCATTGATGTAGTGCAGGAACTTCTTCCCTGCGTGTCCCAGGGCACGGGTGTCCATTCAAATGAATGGGCCCTCGGGCCCCCGCAAAATCATGACCCCCACAGATGTGAACCACGGGTTATAGTTGCAAAGGATACAAGACATATGTGGCAAAATACGCCACCAGGACCTCCACATAGAACGTGTCCTTGTATTTGGACAGCACTCTCCCCAGAGCCTTGGCGTCATCCATATCCCGGGGAATCTTTATCTGCGCACACTCTTCCCTGTGAAGGAAAACAGAAAAAAAAAATGACTAAAAGGACAATGAGCAGGAGGAAGAAAACTGGGGGGTGGGGGGGGGGGGGGAATACTCCTTTACCTCCCCAGTCACACACTATTTTTATTATACATTTATATAGCTCTGACATATACCGCAGTGCAGTACAGAGAACACTGAGCCAGTCCCATCAGTCTCTGTACCAGAGGAGCTTACACTCTAATGTCCCCTCCCCCACAGTCACATCAGTCTCTGTACCAGAGGAGCTTACGCTCTAATGTCCCCTCCCCCACAGTCCCATCAGTCTCTGTACCAGAAGAGCTTACGCTCTAATGTCCCCTCCCCCACAGTCCCATCAATCTCTGTACCAGAAGAGCTTACGCTCTAATGTCCCCTCCCCCACAGTCACATCAGTCTCTGTACCAGAGGAGCTTACACTCTAATGTCCCCTCCCCCACAGTCACATCGGTCTCTGCATCAGAGGAGCTTACACTCTAATGTCCCCTCCCCCACAGTCACATCAGTCTCTGTACCAGAGGAGCTTACACTCTAATGTCCCCTCCCCCACAGTCCCATCAGTCTCTGTACCAGAGGAGCTTACACTCTAATGTCCCCTCCCCCGCAGTCACACACTATTATACATTGATATAGCTCTGACATATACCGCGGCGCTGTACAGCGGTCAGGGTGAAGGTGATGATGTCACAGATACTCACTCGCTGAGTTGGGGGAAGTTCTTGTACACCAGGAACATGACAAAGGCTGCAGATGAAAATATAGACACCAATATGAGGAGGGAGGTGCGCGCCGAGCCGCCTTCTGATTGGGCTTTGCCTGCAAAACAGGAAATCATTGATTATCCCCAATATAATTCATAACTCAGGACAATTCTGGACTCACATTGCTTTCCATCATCAATTCCTGCTTTAATTGTTACCATCAGCAGGATCTGTGAATGTTTACACAGCGAGCGTCAATAAAGTCACATGACTAAGGAGCGTCAATCCAGTCACATGACTAAGGAGCGTCAATCCAGTCACATGACTAAGGAGCGTCAATCCAGTCACATGACTAAGGAGCGTCAATAAAGTCACATGACTAAGGAGCGTCAATCCAGTCACATGACTAAGGAGCGTCAATAAAGTCACATGACTAAGGAGCGTCAATCCAGTCACATGACTGAGGAGCGTCAATCCAGTCACATGACTGAGGAGCGTCAATCCAGTCACATGACTGAGGAGCGTCAATCCAGTCACATGACTAAGGAGCGTCAATCCAGTCACATGACTAAGGAGCGTCAATCCAGTCACATGACTAAGGAGAGTCAATCCAGTCACATGACAGACACATGACTAAGGAGCCTCAATCCAGTCACATGACTGAGGAGCCTCAACCCAGTCACATGACTGAGGAGCCTCAACCCAGTCACATGACTGAGGAGCCTCAACCCAGTCACATGACTGAGGAGCCTCAACCCAGTCACATGACTGAGGAGCCTCAACCCAGTCACATGACTGAGGAGCCTCAACCCAGTCACATGACTGAGGAGCCTCAACCCAGTCACATGACTGAGGAGCGTCAACCCAGTCACATGACTGAGGAGCGTCAACCCAGTCACATGACTGAGGAGCGTCAACCCAGTCACATGACTGAGGAGCGTCAACCCAGTCACATGACTGAGGAGCGTCAACCCAGTCACATGACTGAGGAGCGTCAACCCAGTCACATGACTGAGGAGCGTCAACCCAGTCACATGACTGAGGAGCGTCAACCCAGTCACATGACTGAGGAGCGTCAACCCAGTCACATGACTGAGGAGCGTCAACCCAGTCACATGACTGAGGAGCGTCAATCCAGTCACATGACTGAGGAGCGTCAATCCAGTCACATGACTGAGGAGCGTCAATCCAGTCACATGACTGAGGAGCGTCAATCCAGTCACATGACTGAGGAGCGTCAATCCAGTCACATGACTGAGGAGCGTCAATCCAGTCACATGACTGAGGAGCGTCAATCCAGTCACATGACTGAGGAGCGTCAATCCAGTCACATGACTGAGGAGCGTCAATCCAGTCACATGACTGAGGAGCGTCAATCCAGTCACATGACTGAGGAGCGTCAACCCAGTCACATGACTAAGGAGCTCCAACAACAGACAACAATAAACCTGAAGATAATCCAGAGGAAGGAAACATTGCCCCTACACTCTGTTAGATCCTCCCCTTCAGTCTCACATGGGGTCCCCATCGGACTCCTCCCTTACATCAGGGTCCCCGTCAGAGTCGCCCCTTACATCAGGGTCCCCGTCAGAGGCCTCCCTTACATCAGGGTCCCCGTCAGAGGCCTCCCTTACATCAGGGTCCCCGTCAGAGGCCTCCCTTACATCAGGGTCCCCGTCAGAGGCCTCCCTTACATCAGGGTCCCCGTCAGAGGCCTCCCTTACATCAGGGTCCCCGTCAGAGGCCTCCCTTACATCAGGGTCCCCGTCAGAGGCCTCCCTTACATCAGGGGGTTCCCTTACATCAGACTCCTCCCTTACATCAGGGTCCCCGTCAGAGGCCTCCCTTACATCAGGGTCCCCGTCAGAGGCCTCCCTTACATCAGAGTCCCCGTCAGAGGCCTCCCTTACATCAGAGTCCCCGTCAGAGGCCTCCCTTACATCAGGGTCCCCGTCAGAGGCCTCCCTTACATCGGGGTCCCCGTCAGAGGCCTCCCTTACATCGGGGTCCCCGTCAGAGGCCTCCCTTACATCGGGGTCCCCGTCAGAGGCCTCCCTTACATCGGGGTCCCCGTCAGAGGCCTCCCTTACATCGGGGTCCCCGTCAGAGGCCTCCCTTACATCGGGGTCCCCGTCAGAGCCTCCCTTACATCGGGGTCCCCGTCAGAGGCCTCCCTTACATCGGGGTCCCCCCAGAGGCCTCCCTTACATCGGGGTCCCCGCCAGGCCTCCCTTACATCGGGGTCCCCGCCAGAGGCCTCCCTTACATCGGGGTCCCCGCCAGAGGCCTCCCTTACATCGGGGGGTCCCTTACATCAGGGTCCCCGCCAGAGGCCTCCCTTACATCGGGGTCCCCGCCAGAGGCCTCCCTTACATCAGGGTCCCCGCCAGAGGCCTCCCTTACATCAGGGTCCCCGCCAGAGGCCTCCCTTACATCAGGGTCCCCGCCAGAGCCTCCCTTACATCAGGGTCCCCGCCAGAGGCCTCCCTTACATCAGGGTCCCCGCCAGAGGCCTCCCTTACATCAGGGTCCCCGCCAGAGGCCTCCCTTACATCAGGGTCCCCGCCAGAGGCCTCCCTTACATCAGGGTCCCCGCCAGAGGCCTCCCTTACATCAGGGTCCCCGCCAGAGGCCTCCCTTACATCAGGGTCCCCGCCAGAGGCCTCCCTTACATCAGGGTCCCCGCCAGAGGCCTCCCTTACATCAGGGTCCCCGCCAGAGGCCTCCCTTACATCAGGGTCCCCGCCAGAGGCCTCCCTTACATCAGGGTCCCCGTCAGAGGCCTCCCTTACATCAGGGTCCCCGTCAGAGGCCTCCCTTACATCAGAGGCCTCCCTTACATCAGGGTCCCCGTCAGAGGCCTCCCTTACATCAGGGTCCCCGTCAGAGGCCTCCCTTACATCAGGGTCCCCGTCAGAGGCCTCCCTTACATCAGGGTCCCCGTCAGAGGCCTCCCTTACATCAGGGTCCCCGTCAGAGGCCTCCCTTACATCAGGGTCCCCGTCAGAGGCCTCCCTTACATCAGGGTCCCCGTCAGAGGCCTCCCTTACATCAGGGTCCCCGTCAGAGGCCTCCCTTACATCAGGGTCCCCGTCAGAGGCCTCCCTTACATCAGGGTCCCCGTCAGAGGCCTCCCTTAGGGTCCCCATCAGGGTCCCTTACATCAGTCCCCGTCCTCCCTTACATCAGGGTCCCCATCAGAGGCCTCCCTTACATCAGGGTCCCCATCAGAGGCCTCCCTTACATCAGGGTCCCCATCAGAGGCCTCCCTTACATCAGGGTCCCCATCAGAGGCCTCCCTTACATCAGGGTCCCCATCAGAGGCCTCCCTTACATCAGGGTCCCCATCAGAGGCCTCCCTTACATCAGGGTCCCCCCCATCAGACTCCTCCCTTACATCAGGGTCCCCATCAGACACTCCTCCCTTACATCAGGGTTCCCATCAGACTCCTCCCTTACATCAGGGTCCCCATCAGAGGCCTCCCTTACATCAGGGTCCCATCAGAGGCCTCCCTTACATCAGGGTCCCCGTCAGACTCCTCCCTTACATCAGAGTCCCCATCAGAGGCCTCCCTTACATCAGGTCCCCGTCAGACTCCTCCCTTACATCAGGGTCCCCATCAGACTCCTCCCTTACATCAGGGTTCCCATCAGACTCCTCCCTTACATCAGGGTTCCCATCAGACTCCTCCCTTACATCAGGGTTCCCATCAGACTCCTCCCTTACATCAGGGTTCCCATCAGACTCCTCCCTTACATCAGGGTTCCCATCAGACTCCTCCCTTACATCAGGGTTCCCATCGGACTCCTCCCTTACATCAGGGTTCCCATCGGACTCCCTTACATCAGGGTTCCCATCGGACTCCTCCCTTACATCAGGGTTCCCATCGGACTCCTCCCTTACATCAGGGTCCCCATCGGACTCCTCCCTTACATCAGGGTCCCCATCGGACTCCTCCCTTACATCAGGGTCCCCATCGGACTCCTCCCTTACATCAGGGTCCCCATCGGACTCCTCCCTTACATCAGGGTCCCCATCGGACTCCTCCCTTACATCAGGGTCCCCATCGGACTCCTCCCTTACATCAGGGTCCCCATCGGACTCCTCCCTTACATCAGGGGGTCCCCATCGGACTCCTCCCTTACATCAGGGTCCCCATCGGACTCCTCCCTTACATCAGGGTCCCCATCGGACTCCTCCCTTACATCAGGGTCCCCATCGGACTCCTCCCTTACATCAGGGTCCCCCCATCGGACTCCTCCCTTACATCAGGGTCCCCATCGGACTCCTCCCTTACATCAGGGTCCCCATCGGACTCCTCCCTTACATCAGGGTCCCCATACATCAGGGTCCCCATCGGACTCCTCCCTTACATCAGGGTCCCCATCGGACTCCTCCCTTACATCCTCATTGGCTCCCCCAGATGTTCGCCCTCTGATTAAACTTCATCTTGTACTCGGTATGAGAAGCCTGGAATGTGGGTGACGTTGGATGTTGTGAAATCCAGAGTCAGAATCATCCATCATGGCCGACCTTTGAGCCCGGGTCATACCTGAGATTCCACAGGGGGCGGAGTCTGAGGAATTCTCCGGGTGGCTCGGAGCTGATGAGATCCAGTCTGGCAACATCCCATAGAGGAAGAGTTAACCCCATAGAGGCCGGAGCGGGCTGAGCTCCAGGCCAGGGAATTCCTATTCCTGTCCATGCTGTCCTGAGATTTGCACAGCTCTGACAGTGGCCCGCTGACCCAACTTATAACACAACCTGGTCCCCTCCCCCCCGTCACAAGATGGGGAACAAGCAGCAAGAGGCTGGTGAGGTCATCTCTCTCCTCCTGTCAGCACATGTACATGCACCATATCTGATTGGCTGCTCAGTGCTGCCCCTCCTCCTTCCAGTCTGAGCTCTGCTGTAGGCGGGGAGACAAGAGGCTGACTACACCGCCGGGGTCCTCCCCACTCTGGGGTGTCGCTGCAATAAATCGGGGTGCTGTGTGAGAGCATTCTGAGGGGCCCCAACACTCCTCCACAATGCTGCTGTGTGGGACCCACATCCTCCTGGTGGGAGGAGTTAGAACAGAGATCTGTATTGGTCGGCTCATGTAACCTCCTCTGGGTATGAAACCTGAAGCACATCGCATTTCATGGGGCCCCTCGCTGGTCGCCATTACACGGGGCCCCTTCGCTGGTCGCCATTACACGGGGCCCCTCGCTGGTCGCCACGACACTCATTACACGGAGCCCCTCGCTGGCCACCACAACACGGGCCCCTCGCTGGTCCTCACTACACTCATTACACGGGCCCCTCGCTGGTCCTCACTACACTCCTCATTACACGGAGCCCCTCGCTGGCCACCACAACACGGGCCCCTCGCTGGTCCTCACTACACATTACACGGGCCCCTCGCTGGCCACCACAACACGGGCCCCTCGCTGGTCCTCACTACACTCATTACACGGGCCCCTCGCTGGTCCTCACTACACGGGCCCCTCGCTGGTCCTCACTACACTCCTCATTACACGGGGCCCCTCGCTGGTCCTCGCGACACGGGGCCCCTCGCTGGTCCTCGCGACACGGGGCCCCTCGCTGGCCACCACAACATGGGCCCCTCGCTGGTCCTCACTACACTCATTACACGGGCCCCCTCGCTGGTCCTCACTACACTCCTCATTACACGGGGCCCCTCGCTGGTCCTCGCGACACTGGGCCCCTCGCTGGTCCTCGCGACACGGGGCCCCTCGCTGGTCCTCGCGACACGGGGCCCCTCGCTGGTCCTCGCGACACGGGGCCCCTCGCTGGTCCTCGCGACACGGGGCCCCTCGCTGGTCCTCGCGACACGGGGCCCCTCGCTGGTCCTCTCGCGACACGGGGCCCCCCTCGCTGGTCCTCGCGACACGGGGCCCCTCGCTGGTCCTCGCGACACGGGGCCCCTCGCTGGTCCTCGCGACACGGGGCCCCTCGCTGGTCACTACACTCCTCATTACACGAAGCCCCTCGCTGGTCACCACTACCAGGGGCTGACATCTGAGGGAGGGGGGGATGGGAGAGGGGTGTCATCAGTATAGGGGGTGTCCGGTCACATATATCGGGGGGAGGACACATATATATCGGGTGGGGGGTCACACACGGGAGGTTTCCCGGTTTCCCGGCCTCTCTCTCACCCCGGATGATCCTCTCCTCCTCCGCCTCCCGGTTCTCAGTCCTCTCCCCGGCCGCACTCCTTGCTCTAGCCATCTTCATCTCCCGGCTCACCACTTCCGCCTCTCCTTCACCCTCTGGAGCCGGCCGGACACACCGCGCATGCGTCACCCGTCACCATGACAGCGCACTGCAGACCGGATATCCGGGAGATCATCAGCCCGCGGCTCCGCTCTGTGGTTTGGGAGGTCTCCCTGGTACTCCGGTGTCCGGGTCTCCTCTGTAGCTCACATCTGTAGGTTCTTCTTTGTGGGCGGGATCTCTTCTGTGGTGGGTGGGGCATCTCTGTGATGTGGGTGGGATCTCTTCTGTGGTGGGTGGGGCATCTCTGTGATGTGGATGGGGCCTCTGGTGGGTGAAGATCCTGTGGTGTGGGCGGGTCATCCTTTGTGGTAGGTGGAGCTCTTTGTGGTGTGGGTGGGGTATTCTGTGATGTGGGTGGAGCATCTCTGTCATGTGGGTGGAGCTTCTTTGTTATAGAGGGGTTTATTCTGTGGTGGGTGCAGCTTCTCTGATGTGGGCGGGGTCTCTGGTGGGTTTGACGATCCTCTGTTCTGTGGGTGGGGTCTTCTCTGTGGTGGGTGGAGCTTCTCTGTCATGTGGGCGGGGTCTCTGGTGGGTTTGACGATCCTCTGTTCAGTGGGTGGGGTCTCCTGTGGTGGGTGGAGCTTATCTGTAGTGTGAGCGAGGTCTCTGTGGTGGGTGTGATGATCCTCTGTTCTGTGGGTGGGGTCTTCTCTGTGGTGGGTGGAGCTTCTCTGTAGTGTGGGCGAGGTCTCTGTGGTGGGTGTGATGATCCTCTGTTCTGTGGGTGGGGTCTCTTTTGGTGGGTGGAGCTTCTCTGTAGTGTGGGCGAGGTCTCTGTGGTGGGTGTGATGATCCTCTGTTCTGTGGGTGGGGTCTCCTGTGGTGGGTGGAGCTTCTCTGTAGTGTGAGCGAGGTCTCTGTGGTGGGTGTGATGATGCTCTGTTCTGTGGGTGGGATCTTCTCTGTGGTGGGTGGAGCTCCTCTTTGATGTAGGCAGGGTCTCCTCTGTGGTGGGTAGAGCTTCTCTGTAGTGTGGGCAGGGTCTTTGTGATGGGTGGAGCTCCTCTGTAGTGGGTGAAGCTTCTTTGTAGTATGGGCGAGGTCTCTGTGGTGGGTGTGATGATCCTTGGTTCTGTGGGTGGGGTCTCCTCTGTGGTGGGTGGAGCTCCTCTGATGTAGGCAGGGTCTCCTCTGTGGTGGGTGGAGCTTCTCTGTAGCATGGGCAGGGTCTTTGTGATGGGTGGTACTCCCCTGTGGTAAGGATGGGGTCTCCTATGTAGTGGGTGGAGCTCCTCCTCTTTGATGTAGGCAGGGTCTCCTCTGTGGTGGGTGGAGCTTCTCTGTAGTGTGGGCAGGGTCTTTGTGATGGGTGGCACTCCCCTGTGGTAAGGATGGGGTCTCCTCTATGGAGAGGTAGAGCTTCTCTGTGATTGGGTGAGGTCTCCTCTTTGGTGGGTGGAGCTCTTCTGCAATTTGGATGGGGGTCTCCTATGGTGGGTGAAGCTTCTCTGTGATGTGGGTGTCGTATCCAGGTGGGTGGAGCTCCTCCGTGAAGTGGGCGGGGTCTCCTTTTTAGTAAGTAGATCAGGGTTTGATCTAGGTGAGGGTCAAAAGTCATACTCGGGGTCAAAGGTCAGTATGTTTTAGCTCAATTATCTGGTTTCTGGGCTGAACTCCGGGTACAAATACCAAATAACACCCACATACGTGGTGTCACTGCCACCGTCAGGAGCAGGAGAACTTCTTTTGGGTTGTCCTTTGGTGGCAACTTATGAGAACAGCAAGTAATAGACGGCTACGCTCCAAAAATGTGTTTTTTTTAACTAATTCGTTCCAGTTTTTCTTTGATAATAAATTTTTTTTGTAAAAATCCAGTGTTGTCTGTTACTGTTTACCGCCAACTGAAAGCCCAATGTGACTCTTCCTGCGGTGAACTACAACCCTGGCCGAACGTTTGAGGAAATCCGTGCCGTCATCATCGCTTTGCACAGAAAGGGATTCCCAGGCAAGGATATGCTGCTACTAAGATTGGACCTAAATCCACCTTTTTTCGGGTCATCAAGAACTTCCAGGAGAGGTTCAATTGTTGTGAAGAACGCTTCAGGGCGCCCAAGAAAGTCCAACAAGCTCCAGGACAGGATTCAGCTGCGGGATCGGGGCACCACCAGTGCAGAGCTAGCTCAGGAATGGCAACAGGCAGGTGTGATGCATCGGCACGCACAGTGAGGAGAACACTTGGAGGATGGCCTGGTGTCAAGAAGGGCAGCAAAGAAGCCACTTCTCTACAGGAAAACCATCCGGGACAGACTGATATTCTGCAGAAGGTCCAGAGATTGGACGGCTGAGGACTGGGGGAAAGTCCTTTTCTGATGAATCCCCTTTCCAAATGAAAAAACCTTGTCCAGAGAAGAAAAGGTGAGCACCTCCATGAGTCCGGTGTCATGCCAACAGTAATGCTTCCTGAGATCACTCGTGTGTGGGGTCACTTCTCAGCTAAGGAGTGGACTCACAAGAATTCATCCATGAATAAAGAATGTTCCAAAAACATCCTCAGAGAGCAACTTCTCCCAACCATCTAAGGACAGTTTGGTGAGGAACAATGCCAGGAGAGGATTCATCTACGGGATCGGGGCACCACCAGTGCAGAGCTAGCTCAGGAATGGCGGCAGGCAGGTGTGATGTATCGGCACGCACAGTGAGGAGAAGACTTTTGGAGGATGGCCTGGTAACAAGAAGGGCACCAAAGAAGCCACTTCTCTCCAGGAAACCATCCGGGACAGACTGATATTCTGCAGAAGGTCCAGGGATTGGACGGCTGAGAACCGAGGGAAAGTCCTTTTCTGATTAATCCCCTTTCCAATTGAAAAAACCTTATACGGAGAAGAAAGGTGAGCACCTCCATCAATCCGGTGTCATGCCAACAGTAAAGCCTCCTGAGATCACTCAAGTGTGGGGTCACTTCTCAGCCAAGGGAGATGGCTCACTCACGAACACATCCATGAATAAAGAATGGTCCAAAAACATCCGAGAGCAACTTCTTCCAACCATCCAAGGACAGTTTGGTGAGGAACAATACCTTCTCCAGCATGATGGAGAGCCTTGCCAGAAGGCCAAAGTCATAACTAAGTGGCTTGGGGAACAAAACATCGAACTTTTTGGTCCATGGCCAGGAAACTGCCCAGAACTTCATCCCATGGAGAACTTGTGGTCAATCTTCAAGAGGCGGGTGAACAAAAAAAAAAACCCAACAAATTCTGACAAACCCCAAGCGTTGATTATGGAAGAATGGGCCACCATTAGTCAGGATGTGGCCCAGAAGTTGATGGAGAGCATGCTGGGGGAATTGCAGAGGTCCTGAAAAAGAAGGGTCAACACTGCGAATATTGACTCTGCAGAAACTTCATGTCGTTGTCAATAGAAGCCTCTGACACCAGAGGAACATCTGACAAAAACATCGAACAACTAGTGCAGGTGGGAACTACACCGTCATTGGACCTGACACAGGCACAAGCAGGCGAGGGCACTGACACACAGCTCCCCGGCGGTTTGGAGATGATGTCATCACATTGGGGCTCCACATTTTGTGAGATGGTGAGGCACAGATTGACCTCCGTGGGGGAGATTTACTAAGGCCGGCCATACATGGGTCGATTTCCCAAGGATTTTTCGTCCAAAAATCGGACCTGAGAGTAATCGACTGGTTTTTGCTCCGCATAGGATGCGGGCCTCCACCACTTTTGAGCTCCGAAGTGTTAAGTTCTCGGCACATCTGGAGAAGTCTGCGCATTTACTGGGATCATGCGGTTTATGTCCCAGGATGCCGTGCTTCGTGTTTTGCGGATTGGTCATGCTAATGCAGACCATACATGGTTGGAATTCCGATTTTTCGTCCGAAAATCGAAAACGTTCGCTCAGTAATCCGGCGCCATCAATGATTTCGAAAATTGTCCGACCGAGTCATAACATTCACCCCATATAACAGGTGAAACTTCTGTTCCTTCCTGGTCACGGCTCATGCGCATATTCTTTTTGGAAAAACGATCGTGCGATTTGACCATTGTTGAGACGCAAATCGGTCGTTTTTTACGAATTTTCCAACATGCCCGATCACTGAAAGGGGGGGGGAACCATGAAAATCGGCCGGTGCCATTGAGCCACTAACAGAGTGAAAATCGGCTGATTATTCTTAGGTCTGGATGAAAAATCGGTCGAATTTTGACCCATGTATGGGCGGCCTTAGTGGGACAATGGCACCGGCCAATTTTCGTGGTTCCTCTCCATTTCGTTTCATCGGACGTGTTGGAAAATTTGTGAAAAAAAGACCGATTTTCGAAATCATCGGTGGCACCATCGGATTACAGAATGAACAACGGTTTTGATTTTCGATCGAAAAAATCATTTGGAATTCGACCCATATATGGGCTGCTTTAAGCTGGCGCAACTGTGTGTGGGAGCCAATCGGCTTCTAACTTCGGCTTTGACAATAAGGCTCCATTCGGAATTGTGCGACTTCAAAATCCTGCGATTTACGGTTCGGCTTGATGCGACTTAGGATGAGTGTGACTTTGGCTTTGACCGAGGACGATTGTTTGTGCTCTACGCAAGTCACATGTATATCCTTCAGGTGCAACTTTCATGCGATTTTGGAGGGTTCACATTGAAGTCTATGGCACTCAAGTTGCATGAGCTTGGGTTCACACCAGTTTCTGTGCCAATTCCGCATCACAATCGCACCCCGTTCATTTATTTATTTATTACAGGTACTTATAGAACATTGTTAATTTATGCAGCGTTTTATATATATAGTGAATCACATCAGTCCCCGCCCCCAAGGAGCGTACAATCTAACGTCCCTAACTCACATTCATACATACAGTGAGGGAAAGAAGGATTTGATCCCCCTTCACAAAACATGTCTTAGTACTTGGTGACAAATCCCTTGTTGGCAATCACAGACGTTTCCTGAAGTTGGCCCCCAGGTTCGCACACATCTCAGGAGGGATTTTGGCCCACTCCTCTTGGCAGATCCTCTTCA